TGCTGGCCCAGGGCTTGGGCAGATGGCGGGAGCCTCCCGGGCCCGGGCCCTGCCCGTGTCCCTCCGTGCTCGGCACTGCCGGCTCCTTGGCGTGCCGGGGGCTCCAGCCCCGCCGGCTGCGCTGCTGCTGGCCGGGCTGCCCGGCTGCCAGGGACCCCCAGCACAGGCCCTGCCCCGCTGCCAGGGACCCCCAGCACAGGCCCTGCCCCGCTGCGGCCCTTGGCCCTGTGCAGGAGCTGCAGGAGCCCCGGGAGCCCCGGGGGCTGCGGGGCCAGCACGGCCCGGCCCCGGCCAGGGACGAGGCCCGGCCCGGCTGCCCTGAGGCTGCTGAGGGCGGCGGCAGGAGGAGGCCTGGGGTGGCTGGGGCTGCCTCGGCACAGAGCTGGGGAGCCCGGGAGCTGCTGCCTCCTGCTCTGCTCTGCTGGAGTGGGCACCCGGGGGGCTCCTGAGACACCCCAGGGCAGGGCAGGGCCCCGCAGTGTCACAATGTCCCCTCGGTTCCAGGAGCCCCGCAGTGTCACAGTGGCCCCTGGGCACCCGCAGGCCCCACATCACACAGCCCTGGCAGTTGCCATGGAGATGCCAATGCCCAGAACTGGCTGGAACTGGCCCAAGCAGCCCCTTCCAGCACAGCCACTCATGGCGGGTCCCTTTTGGCTGCTCTGGGGCACCTTTTGCCCATCAGGGAGCATGTGGGGATCCCCCTCCACAGCCCGGACAGCAGAACAGTGACACCTCCTTGGTGCTGACACCACCCAGAAGCTGAGGGAATGTTTGGTTCTGGTCCTGGGAGCTCTCTGGCTCCTCCAGGTGTGCCAGGGCTCCTGTGGGACGTAGGTGGTCACTCTGTGGGCCAGTGCAGCTCCATCCCTACCCTTCCCAGCCCTGTCCTCAGAGCCCAAGTGGCACCTGGTGCCAGCTCTTGTCACACCTGGATCCCCTCACCCAGGTAACCTGTGCAGGGGGACCAGCGGTGCCACCTTGGCTGTACTGGGGTGATCTCCAACCGGGACAGACACTGCGGGTCATTTGACGTGGTTCCTCTGAAGGCAGCAGCTTTCCCTCCAGGCTCTCCAAGCTCTTTCCTCTGGGCAAAGCCAGGTGCTGTGATGTCCCACCCTGAAGGGGAAGGGAGCACCCAAGAGTTGTAGATGGTGGTCAAAAGGAAGAACAAAAATCAGAGGATTCACAAAAACTCACAGTGTTTTATTAGTAAATCACACACTTGGCCATAGAAATTGGGATGTTAGTCCCTGACCTGCTCTGTAAGCACATGGCAGTAGGGTTGGGATAAAGGGATAAAGTGATAGGAAAGAAAGAAAGTGTCACAACCCATGAACAAGGGCATGATGTTCATTGTAAATTCTTGTCAGGCTGAACAAAGACAGCAGATGTGTCACGGAGCTCTTGAACTTCTATGGTACATTTGCCTTAAGTCTGACAACCAGCCCACGGTTTACACTCAGAAGGTGTTGGCCAACAAGCCCTTGGACTTTCCAATAGAATTCCACAAGTGGTGGCCGACAAACACTTATTTTTGTACAGCACACTGCTGCCTCATTTTAACGAGACTGAAGTGTTTTGCTAAGGAGGGTGAGTTATGAGGTAGACCAAACTCCTCTCTCTCAGCAACTGTAAATCTGAAATTCAGAGGCTCCAATTCAGGAAGTATGGGAAAAAAGAAAAATATATGGATTGATATGTATTGGCAGAACAACAAAAGAACACAAAAGCAACTAAACAATAATCCTCGTACCCAAAAAACTTTTGTAGCCAAAGTCCCCTTCAGAAAGGGAGGGTTCGGTACTTCCGACCGCGGCCGGCAGGGGGCGCTGTTGGGCCGAGAATGGAGGTTCCTCCTCAGCGAGGAGGGAAAGGGGAGAGGGGAGAAGGGAGAGGGGAGAGGTGGAAAAGGGA